AAAATTGAAAAAACTTCTAATACCGGCTTCCAAAAAAATCGGTAACGAAAAATTATACACTTTATAGCATTCCCCGGAAAATTATATCTCTATTTGATCTATAATTCTTTGAGATTCGGTCAATTATTTCCCGAAAATTTGAGAGAATTAGAAAAACCGGTTTCCAGAAAATCGGTAACGAAAAACTATACACATCATGGCACTTCCCGGAAAATTCTACCCCTGTTTCATATACTTTTAGTAAAAATTCGGTCCACACTAACGAATGAGTAGTTCACGGACAGACGGACGGACAGACAAACAGTCGGGTTTTATATAATAGTATGATAGATAGTATAGATAATTATCAATATTTGATTCGATTAATCGTCGATACATATATTCCAAACTCACACATTAATATTAAAACGATGATCTTCTTGATGACTAGAAAATATTTTTCTTCATCTATAAAATATATTATTCTGTTTCGATTGTTTAGTATACAAAGCTATATAATATAAGATTTCAATATCTTTATCAATTCACCTTCTTTCATAATTATCAGTCAAACATTCATCTCTCTCTCATTCATATTATACATATTTAAATTCTTCAATATTTATGTCGTCAAGGTAATAAAATCGAATGTGGATTGTAACTTCTTTTCAGAAATCACAAAGATAATATGGATACGGTACCATGGTTTCCCAGGAGAATACGCGACCTTGATAAGTTTGCTAATCAAATTTTGTCTTACGGTGCCGAACTTGATAGCGATCATCCTGGTTTTACGGATCCTGTGTACCGACAGAGAAGGAAATATTTCGCAGACATTGCTTATCATTACAAACAGTAAGTGTATTAGAGTACATACGATGTATATCGTATTAAAATAGCAAGACATGTAAAGCTAGACATGTAGATATTTATACAAATATTTATAAAAACATATAATTTCAAAAAATGTAATATTGTATTTATGTACTATACGTTTTAGCGGACAACCTATTCCAAAAGTGGAATACACACCTGAAGAAATAGCTACGTGGGGCGTAGTTTTCAGAAATTTGACTAAGCTTTATCCAAAGTACGCATGCAGAGAGCATAATCACGTTTTTCCGCTGCTTATCGAAAATTGCGGCTATCGAGAAGACAACATACCCCAACTGGAAGATATATCCAACTTCTTGAAAGGTAACATCTTGGTGCTGATTTAAAATTACATTAAAATGCTAGATAGCGTTGTGTGTGAAAGCTAAATTATTTTCAGTTTGGAATAATCAATTTTCCTTAATTTCTTTGATCTGTATCAAAAAAGATAAATCGCTAACCAGTTAATAATGCAATTCAATGGTTCACACTATCACGCACAATTTTACCTTTATAACCGAATTCTGTTTTTATCTTTTAATTGATTTTTCAGACTGTACCGGTTTTACACTTCGCCCAGTAGCAGGATTATTATCTTCACGTGATTTCCTAGCTGGATTAGCCTTCAGAGTGTTTCACAGCACGCAATATATACGACACAGCAGTAAACCACTTTACACGCCGGAACCGGACGTGTGCCACGAGATTCTGGGCCATGTGCCACTTTTCGCCGATCCATCTTTTGCGCAATTTTCACAAGTTATTGGTCTGGCATCCCTTGGTGCTCCGGACGAATATATAGAGAAACTTGCAACGGTATCATAAAATATTTTGCTTAAATTTATAAAATGTAATATTATAGTTGCAGAACCATATAAAATACATTAATCGAAACGTTACGAATATATGTTAAAGATTCTCTTATAAAGACTTAAAATTAAAAAATTAGATACTATTGTCAATCTGACTTTTAATAGTATTCGTTAAAAATAGAAACAGAGTTTGTTAACAACAGAAACAAAATGAAAGGAAAAAACAAAGATTCCATTATTTAAGAAAAAAAAATAAATAATATATTGAATAAATTATAAGTATAATTTGTTTCTGCAGTGTTTTTGGTTCACGGTTGAATACGGAATATGTCGACAAAATGGAGAATTAAAAGCATATGGTGCTGGTCTGCTGTCATCTTTTGGCGAATTGGAATATTGTTTGAGCGACAAGCCAGAGCTTCGACCTTTCGACCCACCGAAGACTGCATTGCAAAAATACCCGATAACGGAATATCAACCCGTATACTATGTTGCCGAGAACTTCGAGGATGCAAAAGAAAAAATGACGTGAGTACAGGAACAATAAATAAATGTGTCGAATAGATTTTCTCTTATCTATCTCGCCTCAGGTCAACACTTGTTTTCTTCACATTGTATACAATGTAGGCTATTTTTGGCGTAACTCTGATATAGCAAACAAAGTGTATCAAACTGTACTAGAACGTTTTTCGCGTGCTTGGTGATTTGTGATATAGCCGTTTTGACATTACCCAGTTGGTTGATACCATGCTATACTAATTGTAAGTAATACTAAGAAGCAGGATACCTGCATAGTACTTGTTGTTAAATGTTGCAAACATAACGCGCCAAATATAATACAAATATTCAATAAAAATTATTCGCCAGTGATGAAATAATTCGGTATAGTTAAACGGCCTGACTGGCAAGTTTTATTAAGTATATCACAACGACCGACGTTTCGACCACTATTTTGGGTCCTTTTCCAAGTTATTTTAACAATGATGGATCATTGTGCGTCAATCATATAAAATTCGTGGCAGGTCGGAAAAATACGACTAACTAATGCTAGTTTTTCGGCCTTCACATGAGACCGTCATATTTTTCCGACCTGCCACGAATTTTATATGATTGACGCACAATGATCCATCATTGTTAAAATAACTTGAAAAGGACCCAATATAGTGGTCGAAACGTCGTTGTGATATACTTAATAAAACTTGCCAGTCAGGCCGTTTAACTATACCGAATAATACAAATAAATGTAAGCAATGTATTTTACATATTTATTTCGTGTAAAATTTATCTTAGACTCGGTATTTTATTCACAGTTATCCTATAGAGTTTTGGGTTCGCGCATATAGAAAAGACCCAGTATGTTTTAGAGTAATGTTGAGGTACGTGTTTGGTATATATATCAAACAATCGCCAAAAATCGCCATTTATCGCAAAGTTGTAATCGTAATGCACTTCATGCAAGATATAATGCGTTTCTTGTTTGTTTAGAATTATCATGCAAATTTACAATTTGTGTAATAGTTCCAAATAAACGCGGAAGGGATAAGAACTAAGAAAAATAATCAATTCTTTTAATTTTAGGAAATTTGCTCAAAGCATACCAAGAAAATTCGGAGTCAGATATGATGCTTATACGCAGAGTATCAGCATTATTGACAGTAAACAACAAGTGGAAGCTCTTGTAAATAATGTGAATCAAGAAGTACAAATTTTGATGGATGCATTAAGAAAATTACATCATTAAAACTAATTTTATCCTATGTTATTCTTACATGACATGATATAAAATAATATCACAATGTATGTATATTCTTTAACAAAATATTATCGTACTATCACGTTGTAAAAATAAGTTTTTATTAAAGTAAATACGTATACATAAAAAAATATCATTTTATATATTAAGAAATTTTATTTTTGTAGTAATACTCTCAGAAATTTTTATTATTATGTAACTTTTATACATTAAAGAATAATTTTTGTAAAAAATAAAATTGAAACACTTTGCTGTTTTTCAATTTCAATATATTAAATAAATATTATACATCATATATTTACCTTTTTTTAAAAAAAGTAGCAAATTTATATAGTTTTAAAAAGTAAGAGAAAAAAATTATTGAACATTGGGAACAATAAAAATTTATAGATATTTCTTAAATTCCGAAAAATTAATTATCTAATGTACATTTATTTTAAATTCAATTGTATGTTATAAAATTGTCAACTATGTGAATAATTTCTGCTAAAAATTTTTTATACTATATTTAATCTATATTTTGCATTTTGCGTTCTACGCAGTCGTCTCAAGAATATATTGCCATCACATCAATTTAAATGGCACATCGCATGACATATCGTAGTTTGATCGATGTTAAGCTTTTTGTTCTATATTGACGATATTTTGATCGAGCAACAATTATGAAATGTTATAGCAATCTAACATACATTTATATTATTATAATGCATTACTCAGCATTAGATATGTAAGAAAATTCTAACATTATACTTATACATACCACAAAATATATATTACTTTTCTTGCCATTATATACATATACAAATATATGAATACACCCTGTTCCGGAAAATGTGGAGATTGGTCCCTTCTCCGTTGACTTTGATATGACACTTATTAAAAAAATAAATTCAATAAATATATACATATAAACGTGATGTATTCACTTTTGATCGTAGCTCTCTCATTTGTTGCTATAAAAATGCTTTACATTTTATAGAAATAAACAAATTATTCTTGAGAGCTTACCAAAATTTACATAAAAATTGTACATTTAATATAATATACTTTTACTTTCTTAACACTGTACGGACGCCGTGTTTTTGGAGCACTTACCCGGACACCCCAGGACTTTTAAGTCCAAAAGATTTTTGAAAGTGTTTTTATTACAAAAAATCTATAAAAATTTATGTATCATCTCTAAGGGTTTAAAAAAGTGATTTCTATATACTTACATAGACCGAAACTGTTGCAATTTTTTTTAAGAGTGCTGAAGCCATACTTGTTGGAATCATAAATGAAAAATCGACTTTGCCTTAAAAGGCCCACGGTGTCCGCGCAGTGTTAGTAATACGCTTCTCTTTATTCAATAAATCCGTAGATCTGTCAGTACACTCAATACTGTCAGATTTACTATCAGAATTTTCATTATTCGTTATTTTATACAATATACACAGACAATAACGCAGTAACCCTTAAATATTTAATCACTTTATCTTTTCCCAAAATAATTTTCTAATTTAAAAATCTTTTTTTTCCTACAAAGATATAAATTATATTCTCAATATAGAAGAAAGAGAAATAAAGCAAAACTTAAATTATTAATTGTATTAAAAAAATATCCATCGTACTATATCGTAATATGGAAAGCTTTCCAAAATTTAAATAAATGTTATATTCTAAGTAAAAGCTACATTATTCCTTATCAAAACTTATCTCTTTTAGAAATTATTTTACAATGCGTGTAATTAACTTTTATAAATTCTGATTTTATGTAATACATATTTTGCGTGGCACAATACTACTTTGCTTTACATTGCCTCGTATTATAGTTTTTAAGAGTTTCTTGAAAATAGAATTGTAAGATAGTCATTATATGGAAGTCCCTTATTCTCTAAAGATCGCTGAAGATCGCACGAGAGAAACATAGTTGAAATTATGAACAAATATACAACAATCGTAGAACAAGAAATAGTCAATATGTTAAAAATTGCACGCTATTGTAAAATGTTAAAAGTTTGTTACATTTTATGCAATATCTGCCGCTATCACACAAATGTTCTTATCATAACTTCTTAGAATATTTTTGTACACTTGAAACATACAACAATTTTTACAAAAATTGCAATGCTCTCTAAAAAAAAAACGGTAGGTCCACAATATATTTGTAAGTGTAACAATAGATATTGTAAGCCAATTTTTTCACAGCGATAAATAAATAACATAAACTTGGGAGAAAATTTCGAAAAATCTTAAGTTTTCGAAGATTAAAATTTCTTGCCTATTTAATGTTATAGATACAATTAATACATAAAAAGAGGAAAGTCTTTTCTAATTTTGCGAAGATCTTTGCTGTTGATTCGAAGACGCCTCCAAGTTACTGTACATCATCTCGGCTTGTTGTGGACAGATTTGGAAAGGCACGAGATCGGAATTGCTACCTTCCTGCGGTGGCCCCTGTTGTTGTTGTTGTTGTTGCAGTTGCGAATGCTGCTGTTGCTGTTGGGTTTGAATTATAGCGCCCACATTGCCATGCGTTGAGCCTGGCGACGAATTCACTTGTAAGGAATGCGAAAATAATTCCGTAGGCACTATAGGCACTGGCACAGTAATTGGTATGGGAAGTACGTTCACGCCTTGTACGCTATTGGATGTGGGCAATTGTACATTAGTATTATTAATATTACACCGGCTTGCTTGTTGACACGGGTTCGATGGATTATACGGTATACCAGTCTGAAATATAAATATCAATCAAAGAGCTTTCTTTATGTCTTTTTAAGCAGATAGTATTTCAGTGAACAACTATAATTTTAATATGTAATAAAAAATTTAAAAAGCAATATGTAAAAAACATATATAAACATAGATAAATAAATAGATGCACGTCTGAAACAAAAATAATCAGTTACCCGAAAATCAAAGAAGTTAGATACTATTGCACAATTTCTTATTTCTTAAAAAATATACAAACATTTAATAACGGCGTGAGAATTCCATATCGGGCGATAAACAATTGTTCTGAGACCCTTCTTAATTCTTCTTGCTGGTGAACAATCAGTTGTTGTAGCTCTTCATGTTTCCGTTGTAATTCGTCTTGTATTTGGTTCTGCGCAGGAGTCATTACTATACCTTGCTGATGTAACATCTGAAAATACCGAGAATACAACAAAAAAACATCTATATAACTATTCAGAAATATATACAATTAAACTATTTACAAGTATATAACGTTAAAATATTATAAATATAGATCAAATTTTGTTAAATTTATATGAATCATATAATTTTATTATATTAAAATTAAACAAATTAAAAAAATGCGTATGCATGGATTACGCGGATTAAAAATCTTTTTAGTTTATAAAAAAAATGAATTAAAACGCGATTGTGTAACGAAAGTTGCACCTTAAACACGATCAAAATAAAAAATTGTACGTTTTATATATAATTATACATGTGCAATTAATATTAATGTCACGAATAATTTATTTTCTTACCTCATGAGTGGGTACGGATGAAAGAATTGGAGCAGCAGGCGCTGCAAATCCCGTTGTGACGACCGATTGCAGATTAACTGTTGCATATTGCGCGGGATCCATAAAATTTATACACGATTGATCGAGCTGGTGTTGTTGCGGTTGCTGTTGCGGCTGTTGCTGTTGCTGCTGTGGCTGCTGCTGTTGCGTTTGTTGCTGTTGCCTACTGTCTACCGATGCTATTGGCTTTGACACCACGGAACTACTTGCAGAAGCTGCGTTCGATCTTGATCCATGTGTTATTTGTGAGTGAGGTGAACTTCGTAATGAAACGGATATTGAAGACGTATTGGAACCATCACCGCGATGTCGGAGATTGGAAGCGATTGTCATCGACTTCGACGTTCTCGATGATTTGTTTGACCATTGCGTTAATGGTGTTTGACAAGATGTCATTACCTGTGTGTGTAAAAATGTGAACCAAATATAAATATAATGCATACGCGCAAATGTAAATCGAGTTCAAATCATATAATAGTATAGTAAAGATTGTAGATATTGCGTACATACATAAAAAAAAGAATCCTCTCTTTCTTCCTTTTGTTTCTCTTTTTCTTCAAAATTTTGTTTTTTAATGTTTTTATTTTATATATTGTATTATTAACTATTATTTCTAATATTCTAAGTTAAATAATTATCAGTATATTTAACTGCATTGATTTGAAAATTTATAAAAGAGAAATAATCAATGTGAATAATAACATCTGCTTTATGTTCTATTTTATTTTATATTTTTTAGTAAATTTTAAAAATTACTTTTGTTTCTCTATTCCATTATTTAACTTTATCTGCTTTTCCTATGGCAAATATTTTATCCACAATATTCTTCAACACCAATAAAATGTGTAACAAAGATTACAATCGAACTATAAAATCAGTCACAAAATATTGACCAATATACATAAATTGATAAAAAATAAAAAAATAAAAATGTCTACAAATATCTATTAAAAATTTATTCGGCATAAGTTTTGTATAACTAAAATTTAAATTTAAAATTCTTTAATGACCATATAATCATTGTTTTAATTGTTTCAGTTTTGAAGTCTCCGTTCCTTGCATTTCATACGGATATATTTTGTCCGAATTAATATCACAATAGTTATAAAATTATATAATCGCGTTCCGTCTATCATCTTACTTGTTTTACAGGCAGTAAAATGTCTTGATTTTGCGTTTTATCGTAACCCCCCGATTCCGCGCGCATTTCCTTCATTACGTCGACGTAACTGACCACGTAATGCGTGCACACGATAAATTCAGGTTTCGAATTCCATTGATTGTAAGTGATGTAGAATCTGGTCTGCAGCCAAATCCATTGCTGGCCTTTCGTGAGGAATCTATAGTAGCAAGACGTCCCTTCGCCTTTCTGCATCACTAAAAAAGATGACGTAATTAATACTCAACTCTCGACCACTAGTCGATCGTTTTTTCAATACTCACATGATTCATGGCACGTAACTACATTGTCTAAATCGTCTACGTGATAGTAATCGTAACCAGAAGTGCCTAAAACTTCAAAAGGCAGATACCCAATAATAGGTGGAGCTCTGTGATCTAAAAATAGGAATTTCCATTCAAGACTATGGCGAGATGTGAACTCTGACTTCGTACTGTCCGTTACGGATAATTCTCGGATAAGCTGAGGAGTTTGCAAACGTCCCGTACCCACGAAGACCAATCTGCAAAAGTAAACGTGAATGAATTGCGATGCGATTGTATTTTTAAATTTTTGTATACAGTTAGGGAAAGTACTTGTTATCTGATCCGCTGGTATTACTAAGTTTCTGATTTGGCAATAGATTGTCAACATCGTTATCCATAGCAGAACCTGTAACAACACAATACTTTGATTATATTCGATTTTAAATATAAAGTTGTTTGATAAAGCTGGTTGTCTGATAAAACTGATTTTGAGAATATACAATTATTTGCAATAAAATATAAAATTGTTTGATAAAGTTAATTTTTAGTATAGGGTAACTCCGATGTATACGCCGCACCTAAGGAAAACTTAATTTATCGAGTACTATTTACTATATTTAAGGCAAATGAATTATACGAGTAAAAACTTTATACTGTCTACTACTATAAAAAAATTAGAAATATGAAACATTTATTCTTCGTATTTAACAAAAAAAACTTTTAGAGACCCTTGCATTTTTGCCATATATCCCAGAGGAGTGGGATAAATGATATTCATAGGTGAAATATACGCCTTACAAAAAATTACAAGTAATGTTTATAAATGAAGCAATAAAATGTCATAATATGTCATAAAATGTGTGTAAAATGTTTATTAAGTTATGTAAGAATGATAAACAAATTATAAAACTAAACAATTTTAAAAAGAAAATAAACGAGCAATAGATGCATTAAAGATTATTGTTATATGATCAAAAAAAAGAAGGAAAAAGAACACATAGGAGATTTCAATTTTTACAGAGTGTTTGTATTATGGCATAAATCCCGCACGCTACAAATGCCGTATATCCCAGGCAGGTGGGATATACATATCAAGCTAAACAAAGAATATAGGTACAACAGCTATGCACTTGCATTTTTGCTGTATTCCATCCTTTTAGTATATTCCTTTACATTTATGTATCATAAAATAACCATTAAACCTTTTACACTCTTTACAGTAATCATTTTATGTAGGTCGTAATATATGATCGCGCTACTTACTACATTGAAAAATCGATTCAACTTACGACGGTTTCGTTAATATTAACAGTAAAGAACTGAAATTACAACACAATACTAATATGGCATAAAGGCACATAACAGAATATAATTGCGAGCAAATACCTTCATTCCTTCTATTTTTCCTGACTTCTGCGGCGTACATTCCCGCGCGGCGTAAATACCGGAGTTACTCTATAGAATTACTTTGCAAATTGAAAAGTATCGAGATATTTTACTCACGAAAGTATCCAATAAACTGTACAAGTTCATAAATAGATTCTTCCCGAAAATCGAGTCCACCCCTTTTGATATGACACGTGAAAGTAATTTGGTCCTCTGTTAATATAGAAAATTATGTTTATTAGTAATCACAGAAATCTCTTAACTTTTATAATGACTAGAAAAAATACCTTTCTTCACACTGCGTCTGTCTCGTGTGCTCCCGGGATTCAGTAAGACATTATATAACTGCGGCTGGTCCTCTTGATATGTTATATCATAAATAGTTGTATTCTCCAATTCGTTCGGAAGATATCCAAGCAGAGACGTAACACTCTCGGAGACATAATAAATGTGTCCGTTTGAAGAAAAAACCATTATAAATCCGTCCAACGCCTATATTTAAATAAACATTTATATATTAAATATATTTACATTAAATAATACTACAGAGTTTACTATAATCTTACGTTTAATTTATTATAATCTGTAGTATGTAATTTTACCTCTAATATAAGGTGAGTAAATTCTTCGTTAGAAAGAAAAGATGGTTTCCAGTCTTCTTGAATCTCATGGACTCTCGACCTAACAGCTATCTCTGAAAAGAAACAATTACATACTGTAAAAATTACGTACTTTCAAAAAATGACATTTAAAAGCTTGTTAACTCTTTTACGTTTACTTAACAATTTTAATTAACAATTTTAATTATAATTATTTACAGAGATATTTCAGTTTTATACAGAGCACTGTGAAAAGTCTTGCACTTACCATTATGATTCTTTAAAAATAGAATTGTTGACTTCAGCACCGTGGATTTATCCATTTTCCGCGTATTGGCACTAACCATACTACCAAGCTCATTCACAAGCATGTTAAATTGATCTCTGCGTTTCTTTTCGCTGAGATTACGCGATTTTCTGAAAGACAAACATTTATACGCTTAATATTTATCGCGACAAACATTAAATAAGTTGCGTAAGAATTTTAAATAAGTTCCTACCGCTTTGTATCATCTTTATCATCGATGTCATCGTCCATGATGTTGCTGAAGACAAAACGTGTTCTTTAATTTAATATAATAATACTTCTTGAAAAGATGAAGATAATAATACAATGACTCGTTTCTGCAAAAAGAAAAAATTTATATATTCATAATGTGTATTCAATATTGATATATTTAAGGCTAATTTTATATTGTTGTCAAGCAATGTTATTTAAAGATGATGTTAATTGATTTTAAGTAACATAATACATTAGTCAAAAATTAAATTGATCTTCGATAATAACAGAATAATAATTCTATAAATATTATGAGAGCAATGTCTTATATTTTAATTTGTATTTTGACTATTTTGTAAGAAATTAACAAACATGTATTATAGTATTATAGAAGCATAAAATAATTAAAGCAAATATTAAATAATAAAATTATATATACGAAAAACATAACTATTTACTACGGTCTGGAAACATTTTTTATCGATTTAAATAAATGGTTCGTGCAGCTTGTATACATCTAAATTGTACTTTAAAAATAGTAAAATTTAAAATAAAATTTGCGCAATTAAAAAATAACTTTAAACAATTATTATTATTATGGTTAAATAATAACATAAATAACTTTTTAGTTCTACATAAATTTTGATTATCAATATAATAAATTCAAATAAATTATAACGTACATTAAAAATAAAATTCGTGAAATAATTTGATATAATAATTACATTAAAATGTCAATAACATTGTTTTAATTGTAAATAATTGCTTGATTTAAATTACATCAAGAATTATATAACTGCAGTGCAATAAAAATTAATTATATTTATTTATTAACCAAAAATTGCAATAATTTAACATAATATAATGTGCAAAAATAATAGTTGTAATATTTATATTGTATGATCACTTCCATTCTACTATTACAAGAAATAAAAATGATCAATCGAATAAATCAGTGCAATCCTTAATCAGCAATAATAGAATCAAGTAAAAACAGTGATTATCTGAAGACAAATTATCGATATATCTACCGTAGATAAATTTTTTACAAATTCAAATTATATTATATGTATATCTATAAAATATTATATCTATTAAATCTATAAAGATTTTCATAAACATTTTGAAAGCACATAATACTTGCAATATAAATAATTTGCTCATAATTATCTAGCAACTTATATAAGAATTGAATAAATATAAGTAATAAAATGATCAATTATCAATTTATAAATAATATATGCTTTTTTCAAATAAAAGATTATTTCTTACATAACTACAATAAATATATTGTGCTTTATGCAACAAATTTCCCTAGAATAAATAAATATATGTATTTAAAAAATATGTATTATTAAAAATATTTACTATGTTAATTGATGCAATATCTGTTTCGCAATATGCAAATGCTCTTGGATTAATGATGCTTATATCCTTTCGCACTTTTAAATAAACACATTTTTCCACAGAACAGCTTCGATTGCCGGTATGGTACGCGATAATTACGGCAGTCACTTACAGTCCATAAGAAAGAAATATTTAATAAAACTCGTCTAATAAAACTTCACTAATTTCCAAAATATTTCAGTCGGTAGATTGTCAGGATCGAGATGAATGCGAGTTCAGTCTATAACAACAATGAGTCCTCTAAGGAAGCGGTATTAAATTCTATAATCACAAAGTTTCAGCACTACAGCAGGACAGTTTATAACACGAGAGGATGACCGACATCAGTAACCAAATTAAAAATCCGCTTCATCGACTAACAATGAGAAAAAACGTCTGAAGCGTCTATCCATCAGCGAAGATTCAGGTGTCTCATTTCTTACGAGTTTCACCCACTTCGACTGACAGAAGGGATGCCCGCGCGAACAGCCCGCCCTGCACCAAATATACGCCGTGCGCTATTGCACACGTATGCGCACGTATACGCACGCGAATTCTCGCGAGGTCTCAAGTCGAGGAAGTACGTTGGACTTTTCGAGTCTTCCGCCAATCGTTCCTCGACGATGCCGTATTCGCTCGCACGGGATGACGCTCTTCGCCGATGGCACCGCCACATTTTTCAGGAAAAGCACTCCGCGGCGACCGTCCGCTCCGACGACGGTCGCTCCGATTTTCACAATGCCTCCGGAGTCAATTACACGATCGGAGTGATCAGACAGGACGCTGCAACGGACTGCCGACTGCCGACTGTAGCGCCTTGCATCGTCACACTTAGGTTCATTAGCCGCGCAGCCGAGCCTAATCGATCGTGAACGTAATCGCGAGTTTTTACCGCGATTCCGCGCGATGATTGCGAAAATCCATGCGGAACACACGGAGAGTAGGCCAAGTAGAAACAGACGAGTCAGACCTGCCAACCGCCTTGGCAAAAGTCCCCTTCGCTCCGTGAAACTGCGCGCTGATGATAATGATGCCGATGACGGTTCATTTAATGAGAGCTTATCATTTCTCAAATTTGCATAAATTACAGCTTCCCGACATCTCAAATTTGTCAAACTCGATGACTATATGAAGTAATATGGCGTATTAATATTTTTATTTCGTTAATTGGACTACGCTTTTGAAAATCAATGAGAGGTAAAAATCTAACAATTTCTGCCACAAATCTATTTTTTCAAAGAATTAAGTAAAATTTGTCTTTTTTAATAGAAAGATAATTGGTTCCAGAGAGATTTGAACTTTGACTCTTACGTTGAGAGTCGCAGCAATAATTATGCTACATCAGACACTTCTACTGACCGCCAGCGATAAAACAGATGCGAAATAAATGTTAGTTTCTTTTTTTTAAACTTATGAAATTTAAAGGATTCATACGTACAGACGCACGCACACACATTTTAACACGATTACTCGTCGCTCATGTAGCATCCAATTTTTCCATTTCGAAAGAGAATCTTTCAGCGCCTACAATTTCCCGTATTTCCGCTCCTCCGAATCTCATTGAAAATCAGATGACCCTACAATTTCCACTCTTACATATTTTTTTTCATTTCGACTAATGTAAGAGAAAATTCTGCCTGTATTGCCAATGTCACTGGACCGTGTCACTGATGTCGGCTTGGTCGACCAGCCTCAGAATGGATTTTCACGTAGCGAAAATGGCAGTCGAGCTATTTTCCCGACAGTGCGCAATCGCGGCTTTATCGCTTATTGCTATCGTGCTGATTCGCGGTGAATGTGCGCGGTATATTACGTCGCGGCGCACATTCGACTGGCCGCGATTGGCCGGCCGCCGCCGGTTGCCGTACATGCGTTTATTTCAAACGTTCGACCTGCACGCCTGCACATGCATCTCGCTGCAGCAGCATCGTTGAGCCCGGTTGAGCTAGCGTCCGTAATGCAATTCGCAACGGACGTGACATCTGATACCCCGTGAAATATCGTCGCCGCGAGTATAAATTCCACAATGTTTGCGGCCGGCGGCACACTGTTTCGCACAGAAATACTCTCTAAAAGAGATCGGCCGTCGCGATTTTTCATTGCCACGAAACAACGAGATTCTTTACGTTGAGATACGGAAGAGAAAGGAAGACGTGTAAAATGCCTCTGTGTGTGGTGTGTGTGTGTGTGTGTGTGTGTGTGTGTGTGTGTGTGTGTGTGTGTGTGTGTGTGTGTGTGTGTGTGTGTGTGTGTGTGTGTGTGTGTGTGTGTGTGTGTGTGTGTGTGTGTGTGTGTGTGTGTGTGTGTGTGTGGGTGTGTGTGTGTGTGTGTGTGTGTGTGTGTGTGTGTGTGTGTGTGTG